CCCTGGACAAGAGATCCCTCCCGAAAATGCTCCACCACCGTTGGCTTGATGCATAATTGTCAGGTGGCAGCAGCTTCCTTCAGGAAGTCCCTCTCCACCTGGGGGTGGAGGTGATGGGCAGCAGAAATCTGACTTCCAGACAGCAAAGGTTCATTGGGATGAATCCCTCGTGCTGAAGAAACCCACTGGCTGAGAATAATAATGGCAAATGGGGTTGAAGTCTGGAGGAGGGTGGTAAAAGGGGTTGAAGAACAGARAAGCCTGGCCAGCAGTGAGAGGCAGCACCTCCACCTGCCTGTGGTCTTCGTGGTACAGATGTTCTGGGGGGAGGAGCCTTCCTCCCTGAGGAGTGAGGATGAGCATCAGCCTCAGGTGGAGACACCCTCCTCCAGGAGAAGGGAGCAAGCTTTGGAAAACTGCCCTGGCATCAAATAGTCCCTGTCTCTCCATCTCCAGGTTTGGCCCAGGAGGAAGTGAGGGATGACTCCCCACAGAAGGAGCCCCTCTGACCTGTGCATGTGAGCGGGTCAGAGGAAGTGTTTGAAGGAGTGCTGGGGTCCATGCAGTCCTTGGGTGGAGAGAAGTGCTGTGGGATGTGGGATCAGGGATGTGGGACAGATTGCAGGCCTGCTGTGGGGATGAGGAGCGCAGGACTGGAGGAGCAGTGTCACCCCCCAGGGCTGGCAGCATCACTGCACTGCTGTCACCCTCTGCCCACCTGCAGRGGGGTGCCCAGGAGGGGCTGAGCCCAGGGCTGGGATGGGAGCATGGAACTGCCCATCCCTGAGTGCTCCGTGCAGGACCTGCCTGCTGCCTTCACCAGTAAATCCAGCACTGTGGTTTCCTTTGGGTGCAAGCTCCTCCTGGGGTGGTTCCAGCTGGGCATGAGAGGAAATGTCTCTGATGGGAATATTCAGCTGTTGGAATCACCTCCCCAGCAAAGTGTTGAATCCCCCAATGTCGGATGCTTTCAAGATACAGCTGGGCAGGGCTCTAGGCTGTCCTAGGCCGTGCTTTTGACAAGAAAGRTTGCACCAGGTGCTCCTTGAGGCCCCTTCCACCCTGGTGTTCTGCRATTGTTTGTTCCCTCTTCTGTTCAGACTTGTCTGTGACCATCCCTGATCTCCTGAGCTCATCTGAAGTGGCTTCACGGGTGTTATTACGAGAATGCCGTGGGCTGCACTGGGACCGTAGGCAGCTCCTTCCCAGCTCCAGAGTGGCTGATTGATTTTTTGATTTGTCCCCAATGCTTTGTAGCTGATCTTGCAAGCAGAAGAGTTGCATTTTCCCGTTTTCTAATCAGATGTAAAAGCCTCTGCAGCCTACGCTGATTTTGTTGTGCCATGAAATGAACTCCCTCAATAATGATCCAGCGCCCCTGCTGCTGCCTGGGCAGCCCGTGGCTCCCRCTGCCACTCCCCCATTTGGTGGGATGATGGCAGAGACGTGACCCAGTGCCCTGCTGGGGTCAGCCCTCCCACCTGCAAGCTCCTTAATGCCGCTTTCCGGAGCCGACAACCCTCAGACAGATCTCACTTCGACTGCAGGATGTCTTTCCACCTCTAATTCCCACCCACGCAAACCTACTTGGACCATGCTCCTCCTCTCAGCTGTGCACAGAGGCTCCTTGCAGACTCAGGGATGCTGCTGTCAGAACAGCTTCCCTTCCCTTCCCTTCCCTTCCCTTCCCTTCCCTTCCCTTCCCT